TTTGTCCGTTCCGTTCCAAATCAAATGCAAATTATTACTGTAATCTACTTTTTGGAATTATGAATCGAAATTGTGAACAACAACAATAGTAACTATAAATTGATTTGATTTTTCTCCTTCCCCCCACCCCACAAACATATTTTATTCAATTCATTCCATGCCAACGTCAAATTTTAACATTCTGTTTAAAATTGTTGGAATAGTTGATGAAAAAAATTGTTTTTATGAATATCTTTATGTCAATTGATGTGGTAAAATTTGTAGTACTCTCGCACTTCCTGTATTTATTAATGCATATTATGTCATGCCTGACATCAAAATGAAATATCGATAATAGCCTATGAGGTACAATAATTGATTTACCTATGGTATATTCTTACTTGCAAGGCAGGGCATTAACGAGTTAAAAAGTTAAAGATAAGTTAAAAAGTCAATTTAACTTTAAATTTTTAACTTAACTAGTTACTTTTGGCTTTTCATTAACTCAACTGTTAACTTACTAAATTTCTTTTTTAATGAACTTGAAATTAACGAGTTAATTTTTCATATTAAGAAGTAAGTTAAGTTAATTTATTTTGTTTTTAATTTAATTATATTTCACTATTTCAGTCTATTATTTTTTTTAAGTAAAAAAATATGTATCGTAAATTGTTTTAAGTAAAAAATGTATGTCATTTGTATCTAACTTACATGGTAATACTGTAAAAGTATAAACAGTATAGTCTATAATTTAGTTTTTGTTTGGAAAAAAAATTAAGTATGCTAACTTGCACTTAATAAAAAGTTAACAAAAAGTGTGTATTAACTTTTAACTTAACTGAGTTAACCTATAGTTAAATTAACTTTTAACTTCTTGTTGTTTTTAAATATTTACTGAGTTGAAAAAAATCATTAACTTTTATAATAGGCCATTCACGCTAATATTAACAGAAAATATTAGTTTTTCTGAATGCAAATTTGTTATGTTGCGTGTAAGTATGCTAAAGAGAGGGGGAGTAAGCAAATAGTATCTCTTGAAGAAGGCCGTATCCAGAAATTTATTTTGGGTGGCGAATTCTATTTTTTTTTTTCAGTAAACTTTATGATTTTGATTATTTGACATTTATTTTAAAATATAATCTATGTAATATCGTTTAAATATGTAATTATCAAAGTTAATATTATTCTTCTAAGATGAAAAATCTATGAAAGATATTAATGTGAAGGTTGCTAAGTTTAGCCAACTCAATTATTTACATTGGAACGTTCGTTCAAGTGTTCTAAATGGGCAATGAATTATGCGTTCGTAAGTATTCGATATTATAATTACTTATTACTGTATCAAAATATCCACAAATACATCCACACACTCATGTGAGTGAATTCAATTATTTTTCATAACATTTTTATATAGGCAGGTACATAGACACAATATGTAATACAATAGTAGCAAAATCTCACATACATAGATTAGACTAGTCAATGAAATAAAAACACAAATCAGCCTGACATGGCAAATTATCAATCAAACATAAATGCACAACCACGGTATGTTATATATCTTATATTGATACCTGCCCTATTAAATATATACATATAAGGTTTTAAAATATCATGAAATTTATTTACTTAAAATATTTCATTTCGATGAAAAATTAAAATAAAATGTTTATTACATCTAAAAGTTTATAGTCGCCAACTTCTAAGTTTTTAAAAGTTGGTTTACTGTATGAAACAAAGACAACATATGTAACATATTTACATATAATTTATAAGTTGTTTAACAAATCTATAATACTTATAACAAATTTAAACATTGCCTTTTAACTCTTAAGTTACAAACTCATAAACCAACTTTACATCATAACGTATTGTTGAGACTTGAGGGCCATGGCTCTGCAAATGCATATTATATTATACTATTTTATAATTATATTATATTATATTCACAATATTATATATACATAAACCACTCTTAATAGTCTTAAGTCATGACTTTTTACAATATACAAAAAATATGATATAAGTATTAAATAAAGAGTGAAGAGCACTTTCACATCACTCGGCCACATACACAGTACACACACATTTGCAACTTTTGTACACTTTATAAATACTGAAAATACACCATTATTTCATTCACTGTTGAAATTGTCTTCAACTTTATTTCAAACCATTAACTTTTAAATCGCTGACGGTCTGAATACAACAATAATTTAAAACTCATATAAAAAATATTTTTCTTCTCAAAATAATGCCAGGAATATTTTTCAGCAATATACAATTATGAAATAATAAATCAACAAAAATAAAATATGTTTTAGTTTATTTCTAAATGTGTATTCAATATATTATTTTAATCATCTATAACCGAACGGCGAACACGTACAAAAGAAAAAAACTATTTTTTTAGAATTTCATTGAAATATTTCAATTGAAAAATACATATGACATAATAATATCACGTTTCTAATAGTGTGGTGATATAATTAATAAGGAAATTAATATGAAAGTATATGAAGAGGTAATTTCAAAGAGCTTAGTGAACATAGTATTGAATGATTAGGCTATAAAAGTGTTGTCAGACGTCTCTTCTTTTTTATTTCTTATTTATTCTTAGTTATTTGCTTCTAAACCTTTTGTTTTTTGTTTTTTGAAAATTTGGTAGTTCTACAACAAATATGTTGCGAGAAAAGTTGTACTGCGCAAAACAGTTTTTGATATGTTGTACATAAAATGTAATAAAAATTTTGTAAGCCGGAGACAACACATGCGGGTGTGGCGTCCTCTTAAGTCTTATACACCCCTATTAACTACGAATATACAGGTTTTATAAAGCATTTAGTGTTGTACAAAAACTGTTCAATTTGAAAATACTTATTAGTTCTTATATTTGGAATTTACATTAGAAAATAACATTACTTTACTGATAATTAAATAAAATCGAAATATTTACATTGCACCGCTATAAATCATTACAGCCATTTGGCATTTTTAAGAAACAGTTTATTTTTATAGTTTTATAAGTTCTTGTTGGGTTATTATGTCCTCAAGTCTTCTAAATGTATTAGAATTTTATTTTCACATACCCAAGGTTAATGTTGTGAGTATGTGACATAAATACATAATATTATACTATATAATACTATATATAACTATATAATGGTTAATTACTATTGATAAGAAGCTACAATTAATTAGTAGGTAATATTTTTGAATAGTCATTACCTGCTAGTGTTATGTAAATATGTATTAACTGTACATCATTTTTAAATTATACCTTTTTACTATGTTTAATGTATTTCTAGTTGGTAGTTACATAATTGCCAAGAAATTAAAAAAAAATTACGAGAAAGTAATGAGTTACTTCTATACTTGAAAATTAAAGTAATTTAATTACAATTTTACTTGAGTATTGAGTAACTTAATTAAACTTAATTACAATTATCTCTTAAGTAACGAGTAAAGAAACTTAATTATTTTTTAAAAGTATCTTACACAACACTGAATGATTTCAGTATGAAAAAAGCAATGGTTCAAAATCAAATTGTATGTAAATGTTAGCGGTAATGTATGAGATACGCTATTTTATTAAATAACTAGTTATTCTATAAAATTCCTAAATATGCTCGCTAATATACAAATTACACGGTTTTACTAATATATAGAATACCGATTGGGTTTTTTTCGCTAATTAATGTAATTTATATTGCTAGATAGATATATTAGGGACTGGATTAGATAACATTCAAAATTTGTTGCCATATTTGTTTTATTAATAAAAATAATAAGATAAGATAATATTGAATCACACAATTCGGCATGGACAAGACTTATTAGTGTGACAGGGTATCGCAAGTCCACCTACTAGTTACTTCAATAATTTTAAGCGTTGTATAGTGTAGTAATAACTAATAAGTGTGCTTTATAATGAAAACCAAATTTGAAACAATTATAAAAAATACAACAACAGAATATTTTTGCTGAAAGAAAAATATGATTTTTTAATAAGTGAATTGAAACATATTGAACAAGAAAAAAAGGATCTCCTTAATATTATTCGTATTAGTACAACGGTATGATGTGATAGAAGTGCAAGGTAATGAAAATTCAAAAGGCATCCAAATTCTAATCACTAGGTAATGGTCAAGGGATTTACAAATGCACATGTTAACAAAAGTTCACCACAAAAAGGTGCATATGTTTAAAAAATAATTTACTTGTAACTCTAAATTCCATCAAAAAGTTTGTGTACTAATAAGTAAATTGTGAATTGTAAAAAAAATAATAATTTAATTATTGTAATTATAATAGGTAATAGAATAAGTTTATAATTCTATTATAAAAAACTATTGATAACTATTGATTTTTATTTTTATTTGTAAATTGTTTAAGTTTTTAATAATTCTAATAAATTGATGTGAAATAAATTAATATGAATATTTTATATAATATAATATTGTAGGACGTGTTTGATTTAATACTAACATTTGATTTTTTTTTTCGTAATTTGTACTAAAAATAATGTAAATAAAATAATAGTTTTAAATACATAACTTAACACTTATTGTTAGTTTATAAAATATCTAGTTAGTATGTAGAATAACTAGTTTAAGTATGTCTTAATGGATTCATTCAATGCATCAACTGAAAGTACCGGTAATTCTATAGATAACTTAGTATACAGTACTTTATAGAATTACGGAATTTCATACATTAACGCTAACATAGATAAATATAATATAGACACAACTCATAATAATGTAAAACTGTTAATTTACACTTAAGGTATATGTTTATTGTAACCTTAAATATTTATGAAATTGAAAAATATTTAGAACTTGTTTGATTATAAACAGTAATTGTGTTAAAAAAATAAACAAAATAAATGTATACAGGAATAACTTATTTTTAAAAAGGCCTTAAGTGGTATAACATGTTATGTTTGATAAACACCAAAACATGAAAAGTAACCATTTTTTCTTAAACATAACTTATTAGTCACTAGGTTTCTGGTTCAGTCAAGATCTCGATGAATTTATTTGCATTGAGTGTAACACTTCATCCAAAAGTTGTAATGCTCGATGTAAATGAACCTTAAATAATTGTAAATACAAATTAGAGTTGTTTGTTATATCATTATTCTTTAACATTAAACTTAATATAATCATTTTGGGACTACATACTTCTATCCAACATGGAGTCTCTTTAATGCTACTTCGTGGGTAGTCGGGGCCCCAACCTTTAACAAAACTTAATCTTAATATGCATAATCTTGTTAAATCGTCTACTCCAATACCCGCTGTAGCACTCAATCCTTTAACAAAAGTTTAAAAATGTAATTATAAATTCTATGATAGGCTATAATATATTTAGTGAATAACAAAATTACATACTTATAGCTGGAGCAATACCTCCCACAATATTAGATCCTGTTAGATGTCCTGCAACTGCTGCTGCTTGCGCAGCAGCTGCATTTTGAGCTGTTTCGGCTTGTTGACACATTTGCTTGTAACACTGTCTAAGATCAAAAACCTAAATAATTTATAACATGTATCATATCAATGAAAATAAAACAAAAAATATATTATACTCCAATTATCAAAACATACTTTAATGTATGCACGAGGATAAATTTTATGGACTGCATCTCCTGGTGCTCGGCCAGCTTCTCTATCTAAATAATATGACTGCACAAAAACTGAATGATCACTCTGACATTTTAACCAAACATCTCCTTCTCCAATCAGATCTAGTTGAATACCTTTTCCAATATGCAATCTGTAAAGAAAAATATTCATTAATGTTGAAAATATCAAGTTTACACTAATATCTAATTTTGTTACTTATTTTTACCTAGCTCTTTCACTTTGTTCTGTCCTTTGAACATTACAAAGGGCACCCAAACAAAATCGATTACTTCTAGAAGGATCAACATAACCATCAACCGTGACATGATGGCAAGTAGATGAAACTTTAAACATTTCTCCAACCTGAGTATCTAATTCAAAGTAAGCAATTAAACACCAATGTTCAGGAGCCGGCTGAGATGATAATAAACCACTGGATCCCATTTCAGTAACTCCCCCTAGAAAAACAATATTATTACATTCAAGAGATATTTAAATATATAATACAACTCTAAAAGGGTAGATATTAAATATAATCACAAAATACTGGATGTGGTGGTTGCATTGAATGTGTATAAGTAAGTGTGCTTTGTACTGGTCGATTATCTGTGGTTGTACCAGACATTGGGGCGGTAGGTCCTTGAAAATCATGAAGTGTCATTGTTTGACTAGGTACTGTATATGAAATAAAAATATTACTCAGTTTTTTGCCAATAATTTTATTAAAGGATAATATAGTTACATAAATTGTCTTCATTTTGTCCTTGGAACATACTGGGATTTTGTAATGGCATGTTTGGTGGTCCTATAGCAAAAAAGGTTATAAATTAGTACTTATTTATAAGAAAAGCAACAATTATTTATTAACTTATCCACCCTTTACTAGGCACAAAAGTGTTAAACACCACTAATATATTTTCTATATATTAATATAGATATGCATATTCCTTAGTTAGCCTTTCTACAGACGAATTATTATATTTAAATTAACAAATTATTAAAATATATATATTTTGAATATTATAAATAAATAAATTGTAACAGATAAAAACTTTCAAAAAAAAATAAAATAAAATAAAGGATAATTGTACCAATGTTTGAGTAGTATACAATTTGTCATTGTTAGCATTAATAATTGTTGAATTATTTTTAAGAATATAGCCGAGGATTTTGGATTCATTATTGAATTGATTTTTAAAATTTGAATTAAGTGATGACACGTTTATAGTATAAGCAGTTACATACTTGAAAATTACATCAATAAATAAATAGTGAACTCAAGAGAATGTAAATGATAAACTAACAATTTTAAAATATGGCCAAAATTGTACCTTAATACAAATAATATTAAATAAATAATTAGCTATCTTATATAAATTAATTTTCATAAATATGTATTATTATTTTATAATATTATATCATATTATATAAGGATATTTCAGAACCCAAGTGAACATACTTTTAGTTAAGCAACTTACTGTTGGGATGTGTATGTGATGGTGTACTCGGCATCCAATTGTCACATGATTCAGTCTTAACCTGTACTTGAGAGTTTACACCAATTTGACGACTAGGACATTGTTGCTGCTGTAGTGTGGGCCGAAACAAACCAATATCTCCTACAAACAATTATGTTCTACTATAATAAAATTCTAAAACATAAAATAATTCATCTCCAATCTAAATAATTGGAGATAATATAGAAAATATTATCCTATCATTACCATGCAATTAATATTTTAAGAATTGAAATATATTTTCATAGTTAATTCTTACCGGCAGCTAGAGAGACGTTCGGTTGTTGAGGAACTCCAATGGCTGGATTTGTTTGATGATATAAAAGAGGTAAGTGATGTTGTACAGTCACAGACGGGCTGTTTCCAGATACATCACTATTCATATTGGAACTGCTAACTTGACTGGAACCAGTTGGCGAGGAAGTCATTACTCCCCCGCCAGCTGTATACTCATCTCTTAAGCTAATTATTTGGCCAGAACTATTAGTAGATGTATCACTTTGTAGAGTTAGACCACTTAAATCTAAATAGTTATTAGAGTTAATAAATAATCATAATAATATAAGTAAATAATTAATATTTACCTATGCCTGATGACACAACACGTTCATAATGATACGGATTAACACACACAGAATCACATTTTAAGTCAAAAGCATATTGGCAATACTTTAAGTGCTTGAGTTCATTTTTATGTAAATCTGGCCATCGCCAGATTCTTGCATATATTACATGCGGAAAAACTTTACGCCCAGCAATCTATAACAAAACAAAATTTATATTAAAAATTATAAATTAGAATCGCCATTTATGTGCCTAATAGGTAATTAATTAATGTTTTAGATATTTAATTTCTAAAATAATAATTAGAATCTGCAAATATCAAGTAAAATTTGGTTTTGTTAATAACAAATAACTATTCAATAAAATATACTAAATATTAAATGAACTCAACTTTCAATTGTCAAATTCTCAGATATAAAAAAATTCAAATATAATAATCACTCACCTGTAACCGCCCATCTAATGTTCTTTGTATTGTAACACATTTACTTGGATTTGAACCATTTGTAGTTATAGCCAGAATAAGACCATCTAATTCATCTCTTTTTCCCTAAGTAATTAGTAAAACATTCATTATTTATAAACACAGTTATAGGAATACATTAAATTGAATATTATTATCATAATAGTATACCTATGGATAAGATTTCATCTATTAAAATGTACAACTTATGTTAGGCAGCTCAGATAATAGAAAAATTTAATTTTAATTGTCCTTTCAATAGTTACCTTTAACTTTTTAACCAGTGACTCAATGGCTCGTTTGGCAAATCCTTCTCTTTCCCATCCCTGTCGATGGCACATCAAACTGTGTACTATACTCAAACAGGCATCAGCTGATGTCGGTGCACTGGTTTGTTGCATTTCTCTGGCTTAAATTCAGAAAATAAAGATTATGATGAAGAAATACAACTACTCCGGAGGATACTACAGTTAAATTCATGAAATAACATTCCTTTTTAAATATGTTTTGTTGTTGTAAATTTGAAACAGAAAAATGAAAATGAACACAACAAAACGTTGCAACCAGAGCGCAGACCCTTTGTCACAGTTGGTGTGTGGCCTGCGGTTGAATAACTCTTAATAATATAATTATAATTTATGGGGATAAATACCAATGTATTTTGAATATTGTTATACATTTGCATTTAGAAATTCAAATTTAAATGTTTATAGGTTAGATACCAATTTTATATAATTTTGTAAATATTTTGACGATCCGTCCAACGATTGATTTCGACAGACCCGTTTGTCTGCGACAAGGTTTATGGATATATTATTAAGAGTCCAGGCCAACGACTAACGCGGACGGTTTATGTCTCCCCAGGCCAGGCGTAGGTACATTATAGTTCTATCAAGTATTCAAGTCGAACACCGAACTCGTTTGCGGAGATGACCAACACCCGAACAGAACGGACTAGACCATAGACCACTTACAAACTAACGGACAGAGCGCTTGGTGAGAGAAGTCGGGGTAACGATATGGGGTGAGCGAGAAAAGAAACAAGCTAGTAAAATGCATAGCAGTTTCTTTGCGGGCTTTACGCGGGCTCCTTCACTCAATTGTATTCTTTCTCTATGAGATATACTATGATACCGTAGCATTGTTTGGAGTGGAATGCGCTGTCCGTTAGTCTATAGGTCTATGGACCGGACCAATGTTATCGTGGACAATAGAACGTACTTGGTTGAGGAGCTGGCGAGTGTTGTGTTTGTGTTGGCCGTGGAGCTTGTGCATACTGTTGTGCTTCCGACATCGCGTGGACGTCTGTTTCCATTCGGCGGTTTTCAAAATCATCCACCACGGAATCGAATGTACACAACAAAGAAATGTCAGTCAACAACTACATGCCGATCGCCAAACGATCGTCGAATCAACAATAGATAACAGCATTGAAATCAAAATGATAAGAAACCATGCTTTCAAGCGCATACACAATTTGTACACAATAATATTATCATGTTTGATAACCGCGGAATAAAATCACGGCATGGAGGTAGTTCTCGCGGTGAGTATAAAAAATACGTAATTTATTATCGTATTTTATTTATTACAAGCACCGACTAGAGAGCCTTTATAAAATAATATAATATTATCTAGGAGCTCTCTAGCACGGACTATTGTTCGTTTCCAGTCGGTGATTACAAGTTTCATTCCGATTGACTAGGTATTAAAACGATAATTGGTCCATGGTATTTACCACGGTCTTGGAAGATATTCCAAGACCGCGGCATTACCATGGATTAGAGATATCTCTTATCTTCCGTGGTGAATACCGGTGTGGACGCCGCAAGTCGCTGTAAACAAACAAATTTTTAACGACTATTTACCGACGAGTAGTCACGACCGATCATGACTTGCAATATTAACCATTTTGTCACGCGAGTACTGTAATAAATGTCTAATAGTATTGCAGTGACGAGTAACGATTTGGTTGTTTAGCCAATTGGTGAACAATTAAAGAAGCCGCGACCAACGACCGTCCGAACGCCCTATCGACTCTCAACACTCAAGTCTCAAATTTTGTAATCTGTCATTCTGTGAAAGTAATTCGTGACGCGTCATAAAAACGGTACGTAAGTTGCTTACGATATTATAGTTCTTTTTAACTACTCGTTAAACTATGATTTAATGTTAAAGTAGTTTTCCATGTTTCTGATCCATATCTATATAATATGTATATTTTCTGTCTCGAGTCTTGTTGCCGTGATACTCGTTCTGTTTTTCTTTCGTAACACGTGTAGCGAGCTGTGACTATCTTCTCAAATAATAATCTAAATCTCGTTCTAATATGTACGTAATCATATAATAGACGCGCAGCGTAAATATAAATATAATTGTAATACGCGAGCGTTGCTCTCGTAAACGTTAATAATAATAATAATATCGCTGGTACTATGTATACAGTACGTGTGCAATGGAGCGACGATATCATATATTATACAGCGCTAACCTAATAATATCGAACGCATGACCATGAACGGCGCGCCGCAATAGTTATATGACTACGTATATGAATAATTCTAAAATACTGTGGATTAGGATTTGTGCTGTTATATTAAATAACAAGATGTTATCCGATAACATCCGGCACATGCCAGAACGATGACCGGGTGACAAATCCCACGATAGGCCTAACCGCAGGATGACCATGTATGGTCTTGTGAACTAATGGGAGGGACAGGGACAGAGACCCATCGAGGAGAGCTGATGGACAAGCGTTCATCAGACGAGCAACCAGCCTCAACTTGAACAGTCACTAATTAACTCACTAGTCACATCTCGCTTAAACCATAGACATAATTAATTGGACTTGGACTATTTTTCATCATAACTGATTTTGCACAAAATAAATACAATTATTACCATCATCAATTAGTTATTCAATTTTTACTTCCATCTATACGAGTTACGCGGAGTAGCACGTTACACATGCGTCTTTGTTTCATTATTCGATATTTGTTAATAATGTCAATAATTTAAATTCATTACAGTATGATTGATCATTATACTAAAGATTGAGAAAATAATATTGATAGATTGATATAACTTTCAATGTTAGGGTTTGTGTTAAAATAAGAAATATTATCTTTAGACTCAATATTATTATTTCGGGCATAAATATTTTCATAGTTAAAATTATTTTGATTAAGTAATAATTAGTTTTAGTACCTATTCAAGTATTTGTATTTTTTATAAATAATTACCTAACAATTTTTTTTTAGATTATTTAAGACCATAAATTAAATCCAAACCTTTCATATATAGGTAGTAAAGGACAGCTTATTATTTTTATATGAAACTATCTAATACAATTCTTTATTTATTTATAACCTCAATAAGTCTTATACCTACCTAAACAACGCAATTTTTTTCCTAAATACAATAATCAAAATAATACTTAACAATAATATTTACATATGGATACAATACCTATTTTAAAAGTAATTTAATTGTTAATTTTTACATAAAATATGTTAAGTAAATACAATACAATTAATGTAACATGACTGAATAAAATAATAAAAACATTGCATAAATAAATTTATATTTCTCTGTGTATTACTAAAAAGTAGCAAAATAATTACCTGTGACCGAGCATACCCAAAATTTTTTTTAAAAGTGATTTAAAATATTATTTTATTACAGACATTAGGTATGTTCATTTACTTTGAAGTTTGTTTGGCTAATTAGAAATGTCTGATTGACGATATTATTTATTATTTTATATAGTAAAGTTGTATAAGTTTGTATTTTAAAATGTACAGGCAATTTAAAAATTTAAAAATGCTCTTAACTCTTAAAAATTAAAATATAAATAAAAAACTGATGAGATTCTCTAGATGATAATATTCTTACTTTTAAATTTGATAATAGGTCAATTCACTCTAATATTAAACATAATAGAGTAAAATGGATTATTCAGAGAGTAAAATTTTCTATGTTATGCATTTGTATGACAGACAACGCATGTGTATCCTTAAAAGAATTATTTTTACCAGGATTTTCAATTTTTAGAAAACAATAAGGAGAATTTCTTAGGATACTTCTAAAAAATAAAATAATATTTGGTACTCATCTAAAATGCTACCTACCGCTACTTCGTTGGTGTAGTATGCTACCTATCTTATAACGATGCCTACCACAAAACGTTTACTGATTATCGATTAATAACAAAGTGACAACAATATTAATAACAGTTTATTACTAAATAATTTATTAATTTATTGTTGTCAAGTACTTTATAATATTTCTATATGTCATTATATATTATTATACATTGTATATTATTTTTACATCATCGGTCATCCCAGAAAACTTCTGATAAGTCATGTTGCGTATTAATGGACTGCCACCATTCTTGTTTTAATTGTCGGCCTAACAAATCTGTTGCTCCTGGGGTTTTAATTCCGGATTCAGTTTTGACATGTCTCCATATACACTCGATCGTTTGTGTTTGTGCGCCTGTTGTAGGATCAACAAAAAACTCAGAATGATTGACGGTTTCATAATGATAGTCTATATCTCTTAAGGTAGGTACTGTATGCTCGCCATTGATCTGAATAAATAATTGATCCTAGTTCTATTTCATTTGGTATTATTGGTAATAAAGTTGCCTTATCTCTTTTTTCCACTTAAAAAAATCTTCGTTCTAGAACCCCATCAACATTTTTATAACACATATCAAAAATCCATGGACCTTGAATGCGAGTACCGTAATTTTTTGAGTTGAATAATCATCATCAATATCGTCAGCATCACATAAAAATGTAAGCTCGCAACAAATATTACACATACCCGAACCCAACACAAACACAACATAGACTAAAATAATTTATCTATAAGTAAGTTATCATGGCCCATGGAACTTGGTGGATCAGTAAAGTTATTATAAGCTATAATTTTGTACAACTGTTATAATATGTTATTAATTATCGTAATGACTCAAATGTACTTTCCCGCAATAAAATAAAATTAAATAAAAATAACTACGATAGGTAGCATACTACACACATACAGTTTTTTGGTATATAACATTTTATGACGAGCATATTAGACGAGTACCTAATATTTTATTTGTATATAATATCAACTATTTACCAACTAATTGCTATTATTTTTCTTTGATTTTTTTTCTTAAAAACATAATAATAAATATTAATTAATCTTAGTAGGTACTTATGTAATTACTATTTATGACATTTTAGTTTTTATCCTTGTTTTTATTTTGTTTAGATAATATGGATATTGATAATCCATACATGGATACCATCTACAGACAAGTAGTTACTGAACAATTTCAATCAAATGAATGGAGGGAAATTTTGATAAATCCCGAAGGTGCTTCAACTACATTGCGTGATGAAAGTACACTACCTCGATCAGGTGGACACTGTTTCAAAGATATTCCTAACCGTTTTATATTTTGGCGTGTTTTGTATGATAAACTTGAATTAGTTGAACATAGCTTAGATATGAATCTAACAGAAAACCAGGTACGTATACATTTTCGTGATTCACCTGTATTGGAAAGTGGAATCTCTGTATACGAGACATCAGAATCTGTTGTTTTATTAGTGCCAACAGCATGTAGTTGTCATCGATTGACATTTCCAAGACCAAATCATCTGGAAAATGATAATGAAAATGATAATGTATTATTGGATTCTTCGATTTTTTCAAATTTTAATATACCATCTATTGATGATCCAGCAACATTTTATTCTTATAACGCAGAACTTAGTCATCCATATTCAGCTGCTTCTTGTTTAGATCAAAAACATGATGCTATATTTATAATAGCTCTACAAAACAATGTCATGCTTTATATACGTATGGAGTATATTTCTGGACTACCCACATTAAAAGAAATTTGTCAAGAATCTGTTGTACCTCGAATGCTTTCAAATATAACCAAAGTTTTTTCTACACATATTGAGAACCCAGTTATTAACAGTTTAGCTGTACACCCATTTCAACAAGATATATATGTATACTCTCTTGATGATACATGTGAATTAAAAGTTTGGTCAATTGATAAATCTGTTTATATTAATATAACGGATATGAAAAAAATATATGCTACTTCAACAGAGAACGGTTCAAGACCCCATATTATTCACAAATGTTTCGATGATCAACTTTTACTTACTATTTACCTTAGTTTATCAGAAAGTTCAACATTTGTGGTTTTTGAACCATGTATTGACCATGGTATGTTTAAACTTCAGCAAAAGTTTTATGTACGTTCACCCGTTAAAAGTAGACTAGTTGATATGTCATTGTATGGTAATGAAATTTGGTGCATATGGAAAACTGGAAAAGACACTGCTTGTGTTAAATCTGTGAATATCAGGAATGGCGAATGGAAAAACTGCTCTTTGGATACTACTGCTTTTGAACAACCTACTCAATATTTGTCTAACTCAAAACAAACTTATTTAGATAAAATATTTTCATCTTCAACTTATTTTACAGATGATGATTTGAAAAATGCTATTGCTGTTTATGATACATCTGATGGGATTGAGTTTGTGACTGATTACCGTACCAAGATAAGTAATGCAATTGATACAAAAGTTGCTCAGGAAATGGATAAATATGACTCTTCCGATATTGAGTCACAAATGCAACTTATTGAACAGTACAGTGCTAGTTTTTATAAAAGTTGCTTAGATTATCGTCGTAAAAGATTAGCTCCTCTTGGACTTATTTGGTTGGGCTCGCCATCGTTTTTACTTGTTGTTGTAACAAATTCAAGTTTTTGCTTTTTACGGCCATCAGATAAAGTGGAAAATAAGATACTTTCATTTAAAAATCCTAATAATGAAAATAAATTAAATAACTTACTAAATGTGTTGATGTTAGAACCAACAAATAAATTTAATTTGTTTTCAGGTATAAAGATGTCCCAAAATAGCTTTTTGGAATTGGTTAGAAAGTCTTATATGTTTAACAGTAATGATCCAATAATATCATTATTCTTAAATGGATGTAATTTTCTTGATACTGCTCGTATATTAATTAATATGCTGCATGCTAATCCAGATACAAATGAAGATATGCAAGATACACAACATTCAAGGCATTTCAGAAGTAGATTAGGCACCAGTGTTGTTTCTCACAGCTTCCATCAAGTAGTGGTGACACGTTTTGACCTATGTTGTAGATTATTTACATTTATGGAGTTGAGTTTTAAGAGCTATGGACAAACTAAAGAGTATGTTGTTGATGCTAGTAACCTTGCTTATAGCTATTGGATCCAGGCTTTATTTTCACATGATATAAAGTTATGTGAAAAAATGATCTCTTCTAACGCATTGTTAGCTAAGGAATCATTTATGGATTATATTGATGGGTTGTTAAATTACACTTGGCCACTTATTGACGCTTCTATTCTTGTAGAATTTTTATTACAAGAGAGACAATACAGTTTCATACAACAAATGGCGCAATTATTAGATTATAATAAATGGGAAGAAACATTAATTATTTCATATATGTTAAATAATGATCCAGATAAAGCACTTAAGATACTTAAAAGTGATATTAAAAAAAATACAGACAATTTTCTTAAAGCTATCACTGTTTTTGAAAAATATAATTACTATGAGCATGCAGTTAAACTTGGAAATTATGTATTAAGAATAAGTAAATATGCTGTTGATAAAAACATGATATCAATGTTACATTCTAACATTTTTCTTAATAATTTAAAATTGAAAGAATACAAAAGTGCATACAATAATATTTTATGTTTAGAGGATCAAGATCGAAAATTGAATTGTTTGCATACTTTTGTCTTAACATTATTAGAAAATGATGAAAAAGAAAAACTCTTGAGTTTTAATTTTTATGGTTTACAGAGCTCAGTTGAAGACATAGTACTAAAAAAAGCACGATCTTTGTCAAATGTAGATGCGAATCCTTTTTACATGTTTTTATGTTCAATTCATGATAAATATTCAAAGTACAAAAAACTATCCATGACATTTTATGAATTATATTTACGAGCTGACACATGTTTAGCCCAAGAACAGTATTTAAGACTATCACTCTTATACTTAGAACTTTTAAGTCCTAATGACGCTTGGTTTGTAACAGTTTCATTACCTTTTCTCTCAGAGACTGATGATGTGCACAGTGGATTAATAGAAATTGACCATCTTAAAAAATTATGTTGGTTAGCTCGAGCTCGTCAGGAAATTGAAGAATCTACAACCAATATGGATGTACAAAGCGTGACATCTGTTTTGTTAATGAAACATAAGTATAAAAATGTGATGCGTTTGTCTAAAATGTGGAATTTATCACTTTATCAGCCATTAAGAGAGTTAGTAAAAACATGTTTGTCTCTCACAGATTCAGAAGAATGTGACAAAGCGTGGATTTGGTTAGCAGACAATGAAGTCAGTGTTGATGGCATTGATAGTAAGAAAATAGCTTGGCATTTTTTGGAGACCTTGGTAGTTCAGTATGAAGAAAAGGGAAAAACATTGATACATTATCATGTAGCTGATGAACTACTTAGGCATAAATCATTTTTACCTAGTTGGATTATCAAAACATTCAAAGAAAGAAATGTTGGTGAACTGTTACAATTATACTTAAGTTATGGAGAATTGATTAACTGTGCAGATTTAATATTAGAACTTTTTGAACAAGAAATGAGTAGTGGTGATACTGTACGAATATTTGGTAACACGATACCTGTAGATATCATAGAATGTGTAATTGTAAATTTAAAACATAATAAATTACAGGTTGGTGATGAGGTTCTTAATAAATATAAAATATTTTATAATACAATTGTAGCACAAGAAAATGCAAAGACTATAAAATAAATTATAAGTGTTTTAATTAAAAAGTAATAAGTTATATTTTTACAAGTAAAGTTACTCAATATGTTTTTGGATTAAGTACAATACAAATTTATTTTTAAACCATGTTCGAACTATTAATTAAAATACATAAATTGTAAAACAGTTTTAAATAAAATAAAATATTTTTATTTGTTTAATGCATTGTGTTTATCTATTCATACACATTTAGAAATTTGTCAAAGAAGTTAGCTGCTTTCATAAAATAATTATGTTTACTGTTTAGTTTTTTTGATGTATGTATATTGTGGTTTCAGTCATGATGATCACAATAATGATTGATGTATAGTTTAATTATCATATCCAAGATGTATTTATTTTTGTGATAAATACCTACACATTGATGCATTGATCATAAATAACATTATCACTGTTTTATTGTCATTTATATTAATTATATTAAACATAACTTTTATCTATCTAAGCTTGAGGATAATAATTTTAAAAATCCTTGTACTATATTTTAAATCTGTTGATTCTATATCCTTAACATCTAATGTTGCATTATTCTGTCTGAATACTATTCAAGTTCGTAGTTAAGAACTACTTAATATGCTTTATAGTATATTTGAAGTTATAACAAATGTATGTTTTAAAAAACATAAATAGTAACCTAATCAATTAAAGAAACATGGGCATTTTTGCTACTTAAAAAAAAATAGTATCTTTGAGGATGGAGATTTTTGAGTGCCTCTATATCATCACTTCTAAACTTGCACAGTTGCACAAATAGGTAAGTTATTTTGCTAAATATTAATTTAGTTTATTTTTAGTTTATTTAAATACAATGCATGATTTTATCAAAGAAATATTTATAAAACTTGAACATTATTAGTTCTTACAGAAGTGTGCTAATATAAAATAATATCTAGTATTAATAATTTAAATGACTTAAATTAATATTGCTATAATTTGACTTGATTAGAAATCTTCTGCATTCAGTACGGCCGCTGCCACAAAAACTTTCCCATTTAAATTTTAATAATAATAACATACCTAAATACTAACATTTTACACTTATAAATAACAGACAAGTTTTTGATTATTTATGCATGCACACAGAGTAGGTCTACAGTATGTGTCACAAAAACGTGCGGATGATTCTAGCGCATCCAGTGTGTATTTTCTTTAAAATTATTTATTGCTAATGGCTTCTATTTACATTATTTTTTGATATATGATTGATTATATGAAGAAATACTGCAATTACATTCCTATAATAATGTATTCAGTTATATATATAAAAAAAAAAAGAAACCTTTGAAATATTTTAATCATTTTAATTCATCGGATTTATATAATCAATCACAATATGTGCTCTGTTCTTAATCATTAAGTTCTATTCACAAAATTGTAAATTACGAGTCTTGAAAGATATTACACATGCATTTTTATTTATTATTTCTTACAAATTAAATATAAGTAGGTAGTAGGTACTAATTAATATACCTACCCATAAATCTTTAAAATCATTGACATTACCTACTATAGGTAGGTATTAAAAAGTCTTATGGAATAATTTTACGAGCATAGGTAATAATAATATAGGTACCTACCTAGTTGCTGAGATATTTACTAACATGGATGTTTTGTAATTGTAATATTCATTAATATGAATTCAGATAACAATTATTCAAAACAGTAGGTAGCTTCAAATTTGGATTCCCTATTTCACAGTTGAAAAAAAAATGTCCATTGATACCTATAGGTACCTACAGGCTACAACAGAAAAGAGGCGCTTGAGATAACATTAGATATAATATGTTTGATATTATTGTATATTATGTAGGTACCTAACAAATACTATTCTTGAAAGCTATTGCAAAATATAAGATCAAAGTTTGAACAAATAATTTTTTTTATGTGTTGGTATTTAACTTTATGTGCTAAGGATAATAAGTCCATGATTATAGGTGTGCAAGATTATTGGGCTATGGTGATTTTAATTTTTTAGTAATTAATATTAATCAGGCAATCAAAATTTATAATTTGTAAAAAATTGGTCCAAAAGTATAATAAAAACTATCCCAAATTACATCTATTATACATTATTGTAAAACCATTTTTAAGGAATACTATCCTTAGTACAAATATTTTAATGACTGAGAAAATACTCATTCATATTTTGAATTAGCCATTAGGTAGGTACCCGAAGATTTTGATAGTATTACATTAAATTATATTTTTGTCTTCTTAACGTGTGTTCCTACTTGCGCTTTCTACAGATAAAAAATTCAATTAATAATTTACAGTAAAAAGTAGTGGTTCTTATTTGGTAAACACAATATGTTTGTGTCACCCCACAGGACATTCCTTGGTCAGTGGAGAAATAGCTATTGAACATATTATTTTTATTTTATTTTATATATCAGGTTACCTACCTACCTAATTTAAATTTAAAAAATAATCACAACAAATTTTTAAATTGTGAGACCTATTTTTTGTTTAGATATGAAGAAACATTCATTTTTTATGTTACAAAATTCATACTGATTGGAATATTTTTTTAAGTATGACCAAAAAGGTGATCATTTTTACTTCTTTTTATTTTTTATCCTGTATTCAAAATTTCCACCAAAAGGAACGATGCTTCGATTTCAACATAAAGTGTCTTATCTTTTAGAAAATTGGATCAAGATGGTACTTTAGAGAGGTTATTTTTCTATTTTCTCAATAGTTATTTAATGCCACGGGAAAAACCACCGACAAATTACGAAAAACCGCTAAAAATTGGCTTTTAATCTCAAACGCTTTAAAACAATAACGAATAAAAAATTATAATATTATGATAGGTATTAATCAAATGTACCTACAGCCTATAATAAATAATAACAATATAAAATATCCAGACTGACAAACCGTCTCCGCTCAGAATCCTTTTTCTTATACAATGATATTACATCATTGAATTCAAGTTTAATACAATCCATTATACATTGACCCACTTACAACCTAATGTACACCAGAGCGACATCCACTAACCCGCTTTTTGATATCGACATTTTCATTCATAGGTACATTATATTCATTCGAAATTCACGGTCAACAAACCCGCTGGCCATACAGGCTCCGTCAGAAAAAAATTCGTAATGGGCAGTCTTGGATGGTATTCTGAATAAAATACTTTTTCCAACAAGATTCTGGATAACTATTATACCTATTTAGAATATTCTTTAAAAGTATTTTATTCCTATAAAAATATATTTATTATTTACAATAATAATAATTGTTTTCTTGTTTTTCTGGACATTTTTACAATTTTACACACGTTTTAAAATTTTAAAAGAAATATCGACAACTTAAATTAAATTATATACTTTGTTAAATTTTCTCCGAAGAAAAGTATCGTTGGTTTAATATTTAAAACAAAAATCTAAAATTATTTTAATTATGTTTGAAATACTTTTGAAGTAGGTATTTAAAATACTTTATAGTTTATACGGAATACTATTTTTTATGAAGTATTCTGTATTTTACCTAATACATAGGTATTCTGAAATCTGAATACTGTTCTTCATAAGTATTAGAGTATTTATTCCAAGTACTTTTTAAAATTATTTTACCCAAGTATGGTAATAGGTAAGTAATAATGCATTAGATAGGTCATAGGTGTATATGAATATGACATTGGCCCATATTATATGATAATGTTCGACGCTGTAGTCCTGTAAGATAATTACAAGTTTCCGTGTAGGTACACGATAAGTACCTAATGGAAATAATTGTTCGATTTTCAATTTCAGTATCTTTTCAGACAGGAAGTTGAATCCAGTAGGGGAAGTCAAAATTTAAAAAAAAAAATAAGGAAAACGGGAATTTTTACGTAAAATTGGTTTTTAAAATAAATCGATTTTGGTTTTTGGTGTAGCTCGTAAAAAAAAATACTGTAAAAGGCTACATGCAATTTTTACTGAATTTTCGTATTAGCAATTATACTGTATGCACCATACAATTTAAGAAATATTGCTATTACAACAAAATAACAAAAATCATTAGATGTTCTTGGTAACCTATTTCAATATGTAATTTTGTCCAAATTTTAAACTTAAATTAACTATAAAAAAACTGTGTGTAAATATTTTTTAGATTTTATTGATTACTGAATTAACTACTTATGTGGAACCTATTAAGTTCTCAATCATTAGCTATAAAAGTTGGACATTTTATAATTTTTTAACTATACCTACTACCTAAATAACTTTTAGGTACATTTTCAATTTGATACATTTTGTCTAAATTAGAACTTTAATTAATATAGGTAGGTACTTGAAAATAATCGTGCCTATTTTTAATATTTATCAACTTCTATTGGCTATTATAGCAACTTACAAGGCAACCTGAATAACATTTTCAAGCTTTTTTACATAACAAATACAATTTTTTTGAAATTTATAGAAAAGAAATAGAAAATGTCGTGCTCAAAACGAATCAAAATATTTTGAACATTTCATCAAGTAAGTACCTACCTATATTAAATGATAAAATTAACTATTTTGGTGTAAATTTCAAGTATCTGCTATCAATTATTATTCATTATAAAAATAAGAAAAATCGGTGTATTTGTTAATTTACGAGTGAATATAAAAAGCACCTATAACTATTCAAATGCTCGTAAAAATGTAATTTGATTTTCCTGTAGTTTTTTAGATTCTGAGTGAAACGATGAATGTATCTAGACACGCGGTAGCGTGTCAAGCCAAGTTCTAGCTAACAGAACTGGCGAGCAGCACCGTGTGTAATATTACACGAACCATTTGGAGCCACTTTTGACCCCCTCATAACTCAAAAACTATTCCACATAAACATGTCAAATTTGGCTCATATATTGAGACTAACGAGATACATATGTGCTCTAAATTTCATAAATACACTTCAAACCGTTATTTAGATATTAACGTCCGAAAATCGTCATTTTTATCACTGACTTACCTATAGATCAAAATTCTAACCCAGTTCCAGATGAC